TATCACTCTATTTTAACCTCTCTCACTTGAACAAATATCAGTGTAATAAAAACATCTACTTTGACTTCAGCTGGGCCTCAGTCCCATCCACTAACATGGAAGAGGTGGGGTTTATGACCCTTACTGCAGTCAATAGGGACACTTTGGTTTCACTTGTGGGGAGCAGTCATGCCCTCCATCCTTATGTACAGTCTATGATTTAAAGATATTGTTTGAAAGGTCTTTAGCATTTGTTTATTTTTGCTAAAGCCAGGGGACCATTAGCTTAGCTTAACCCTTACCCTTAGCATTATATTAGATGTACATATAAGAGAGTGGTATCAATATTCTGATCTAATTCTCAGCTCTGAAGTGAAACTGTGTCTTTTCCAAAAAGTGGTTAAAAGACAAAACATCTCACACTATAGTTGTTAACTTATATGATGCCATCACACCCATTATTGAATAATGTGTGTTACAGTTGAAAAATGATAAATACAAAAATATTATGAATTAATAAATCATTTTTTACATGCATCAGTATCAGTTAATATGTGTTTCATTAGTTTTTAGTTTAAAGGGTCCCTCCACCATTTTTACACATATTAATGAATATACTTTACATGAGCTGTGCTAGTTGAATGACATCATCTGGGAATGTGCAGTTTGACATAAGTAAACTCTACCAGGCAAGAATGGCCCAAAACAAACACATTCAGGGAAATGCAGAATTCAATGCTTTGAAGCCTCTTCCAAGTCCCCCAGTTTTAAGTAAAATATTAAAATTTAAACCTATATCATCATTGTTTATAGCCTGATTAATGCACATTTACCTACAACCAACTTGAACATACTGTATATGCACTATTCGAAAATAAGCAAGCTTATAGAAAAATGAAATCATGTGAATGATATAAACACTGAACAATAAGAACTGAACCACAGCAGATCACACATTGTAATATCAAACCATTCCCACAGCCATCTGGCACATCCTCCCAAATTTAGCAGCAAGCCCGGCTCATTTTTCCTGCTCTCCAAGTCCATAAGGGATTTTGTGTTCCAGGAAAAGCTGGTAGCACAATTTGGAGTTTATTTATTTATTTGTTTTTGTTGTGTTTTGGACAAAACTATTTTCACACTGTTCTCTAGATTAAGAAGTAGTTTATTGGATGAGAGGATCAACATGACCAAGCAGCTAGAATTGATTACACCTGCCTCTTTCAGTCCAAACATTCCCCTCGGATAGTCCAAGTTTTCTTTTCTGCTTTAAACTTTTTTTTATATCATCGTGACTAGCCAGTCGAAACTTTCAATTTAACGATACCACTTGAGCTTGTTTTAGGATTGTCTGTTTGGTTCCTCCTTTTTTTCAGTATATCTCTTCTTTCGCTCTGCAGAGTTCCTGAGAGAGGAGGTGGTTGTTCTCCTCACGGCTCAGTTCATCACTCTCTTCAATCAGACAGCGCTGGAGGTGAGGGCAGTTAACGTGGAGATCCATCAGCCTGAGTTTCCAAACATTTCACCCAGCATCTCACTGTTTTACCCAGGGTTACATCCACACTGCATCCATCTGAGCCCCACCTAGAGAGAGCTGCACTCTTAATAATAATAATGATAATTAAAGGTTCAGTGTCTAAGATTTAGGTGATAGGGATGTTGTTGTTTCCTTTACCCTAGAATCCGCCCTTTAGATATAAAAACTTTATATTTACATCAGGAGTGGAACCTCTATACGGAGGCCGCCATGTTCTCTACAGTAGTTCAAACTGGACAAACTTTTGAGTTTTTATGACAGCTGAAGGCTGTTACAGGTTCTCTATCATGTTTGGAAGGGGAGATGTATTCAGCTGCATCATCCAACTTCACCACTAGATGTCACTAAACTCTACACAGGACCTTTAAGTAGAGCTTCATACTCAAAATAAAATAAGTTAACATAATCAGTCTCTGCTGTGAACTTGAAAAATGACAGAATAGTCACACGTTGCTGACATGGATTATAGAATTTTACTTTCATTTTAATATAGAAATGAAACACCTCTTTGGATCTGACACTTCTGAACAATTTAAAAAAGGTGCCTGTTTCAGCCCTGATAAGAATCTCCTCCATGACTGAATCACTTTATCCAACTGACTGACCCTGTGAACATCTCTCTGAAACCCCCAGACCATGGTGACTCCCCTGACGCAGCGCTCCTTCGGCTTCGGTGAGCTGGGCAACAGCCTGATGTACAGCCTGTGTGGGGTGGAGGTCATCCTGGGCTTCTTCTTCGTGCGGTGGCTGAGCTCGAAGGTGGCGGACCGTGTCGTGCTGGCCGTGGGCCTGGTCATCTGCTGCACCGCTTGTATCTGGTCCCTCGTCTTCCTCTGCGACCCACGAGGTGCCAACCTGTCGCGGGAGAAACATCCAAACACAGCGAGACACACATGCAAAGCTAGAGACAGACTCACAAATCACTCAAGTTCTTTGCCAAATCCCTTTTTTTGTGTGACTGGTGTTGATGCGTAGAGCCGAGTGGAGCCATCTTGGGTTACACACAGGCGGAATTGAATGTGCTCTGTAAACGATATCATTCAGGCTCTGGCAGGACAGACGGAGATCACACAGGCAAACTGGATCCTGTATGTTCATGTTGGCCTGCGTCTGTTGTGGCTCGTCACGTTTATCACTCTGATTATAAGTAACAGGTGCTGGAGCCGGGGAGTGACTGAGTACATATAAAAGGATTACAGTAATCTTATTAGACAAAAATGCTATTTGTTAAAGCGTATCCTGCATTTGTTCGCTATTTGTTACAGTGGAAACAACCAGACTGAGAAACAAAACCTACGAGACAGACACCTGAAGAAAGAGGATTTTTGTCTTCTTGCACCATGTTTCATTGGTTAAAATGCATTTTGATGGCTAGAATGCAGAAACATCCAACAGTTTGAGTGGGCACAGATTCACACAAACATGTGCATGATGCAAAGCAGCAGAGAACAGAAATGGAATGGCTGCCAGCTTGGCAGTGGTTTGGTTTTCAGATAGAGCCATCGCTGCTGGTGCCAGCCCGTTTGTAGGAAGGAACTTAAAAACCGAGAGAGGAGGGGCTGGAGAGCTCAAGTATTAACTGTCTTTGAATCAAATGAGAAAATATGTGCAGCAAAATATTGTAATTCATCAGCTCTGCAAGTTATGAAAAATATATTAGTTTTAGGTATGTGAGAGTTGGTGATGTGTTTTTCTAAACAATATATTCCATATCATTTTTGGGCAAACAATTGCAATTAATATCATGTTATCTTTCCATCCTTTAGGTGGTTATGGATGGGAGCTAACGGCCTTCATCATTGGAGTGTTTCTGCAGCTGCTGGGGCTTCCCTTTGTGGCTGTGTCTCAGGTGTCTCTGTTCTCCAAAGTCACCGATGAGAAAACACAGGGTGGCTAATTTACCTTGGCGCTGTTTGTACAATCCAACATACTGAAACAAAAGATTTCTGCTCAGCATGATACAAATACAGAGTTATTTGTCCTGTAGTGTCAGTCCATATTTTAATGTAACCTTCTATTCTTTGTGTCTATGTGTCACCTGAAGGATTTAGCCAAGGAATCAGACGCTCAGTCGGGGGCCTGGCCACCATCCTGGGTCCTTTGTGGGCTGGAGGTCTGACCAATAATTTGTACATAATGCTGGGCATGATGTTAGCCCTCCTCATGATGATCACAGTAAGAAGAACATGCATCCTTCAAATATTTAAGAGCATTGCACAGAAAGAAAATTCTTAACATTATGAATTAAATTAGTAGTTTGGAGTCATTTTTGGGAAATAAACCTACTTGCCAGTCATTCAGTAACTGCTCATTTAATATGACATCACTGAGAGCAGTCGGTTCAATTAGTAAAAAGACTGGAAATGGGGAAATAGCAAACTGTGTTGTGTTCTTAAGGTAACTCAACAACACCCAAATCCTGTTTAATCTTACAATTAGAATAAAATACATTTTTCTGAATTTCTGCTGTATTCAGTAAAGACGATAGACCACATGCAGCAAAAGGCATGTGATCAATCAGGCCGCCCCATAGTTTGATAAAAATACTTCATTGCTACATTGTCATCCTACAGAGTTGATACAGATCAGTCTGTCCATGACATGTAAAGTTACTGTACATCCAGCGGCTGGATAACTTAGCTTAGAACCAAGACAGAAAAGAGTCTGTACATTATGACATTTAGTTTGGATTGGCAAGTGTTATTGACATAATATTCGTGCATAAAAGGATAGAAAGCTTTTTCCACAGTTTGTCATTGCCAGGCCAGCTTTTTTCAATTCAGTCATTAGGCTGAGCTCATTTTCTTCTCATTTTGTACATGAATATGCATACCAGCACATTTAAAACTCAATAATAATCATTATATTACATTATATTTTGTTCAAGGTAAAAGTGAAGCAAACTGGCTGCAGCTTTATTTAGTGCAGGCATGAGAGTGATATCAAATGTTGGTCCATGTAACGCTTATTAGTAAAATAATTCTTTATGAAAAAATGAAACATTGAAAATTTGAAAAATGGAATCCAATGTCTCATGACCAACTCATCATCTAACTCTCAATGAGAAAAGCAAATATGTGTATTTCACAAAATGTTTTACTGTTGCTTTAATCCGATCTGCCAGCTACACTGAGTGTGAGACTCATGCCATGGACATTGGGTGTTAGAAAGATAATAAAACATTTGGTACCAGTCGTACCAACATCGGGACATGTCCTTGACATTATAATTGTTGTTTTCTAAAAACCCACACCACAGCTGTAAAAAAACAGCCCAGCTAAAATGATGGAACAAATATATATTGTATTCATTTTGATGAAAATAGTATAAATCAAAAACTCATCATCAATTAAGTCTAGATTTTTCAGTGGTGTTGCACAATTACAAATAAATTTGGCTTGTAGGTGAAAAACAAAATGAATCCCTCTTAAATGTCGGGAGCCCTGCTTTAATTCAGATTCTGGATTTGACAACAGTTTAATACTTTAAGCCATCTGGAACTATTCAAAGCTGCAGCTTAAGGAAAACAGTAATTTTTCTCATAAGCAAACTGAAAAACAGTAGCTGAGGGCTGTAATTCCCAGAGAAATCCTTAACTCAGCATGTCTTTGATAGCGTCTGCTTATTTCTCCATGCCCTCTATTCTCTGAAGCCATATCACGCTGTAAATATTTCTGCAGGTTATGGCGGCGCTGTCCTACGAGCGTCTGACTGAGCCCAGGGCGGTGCAGTGCGCCCAGAGCTCTGACAGCGGAGGATAGAGCCGCAGTGTGTCTGACAGAGCTGGACAGGCCGAAGACGGACACAGGGAATGCCCTTCACTTCTGAGAGAAGTTTGCTGCAGAGGAAAATGTATGAGTGTGGAGTAAAACGTTCAGATAATATGCTTCTCCTCAGAACACACAGGGGAATATCAGGTAAAATACAGTAAGTTTTAAGCAAGACACAATCTCTGCTGTCAGGAGATTTTATTAGAATCTACCTTGTATGCACATCAACGCCAGACTATTGATTATATTTTACACAAGGGGGCACCATTGCTCTCATATTGAATATTCAGGGAAACAATTGAAGATGAAAGCTATTATTTTTAAACTGAACTGTTTATACCCCTAGGTGTTGATGGAATGATGAGAGAACAGGTTTTTTTCCACCATGTGACCCATGTTCCAAAAATTTCCATTTCTTGTCTGATAAAAAAAAAGGAGAAGAGACAATTGACACAATGAGTGCAGAAGCGAAGCTGTCAACATCTGAGCAGCTCCGCATCAGAGAGGCTGAGAGAAGAAGAGGGTCAAAAAGACTGGAGCTTTAAATGTTCCCTGCTATTTGTTTGCGGTGTGGGAGGAATCGTGTGCTGGTTTATTGTTAAAAATGAAACACAAAGCCTTGGATGTTACCAAACCAGTTTGATGTTATCTGAATTAATATCTCATATGAAAATGAGGAGCTCATGAGCTAAAAGCAACATTTTAAAAAGTAGCTGTTAATTAGCTTTCTCTATCTTTTAAAGTTTAATTACCTGAATTCATTATTCAAAACAGGGCAAGGTGTGAGGAGTGTACAGTCAGCTGTTCTTGCCTGTATTCTCCTCTAGGATGTGCTGCATGCTACACATCTGCATGTAGGAGGAGAGGCTGTAAGCAACATCAAGGCATCGTAGATTCCCTTTGTACCAATAAACATAGGTTTGGCCGATCTTTGTTTTTGCATAATTGCAGATAAGGCTCCGTAACCTTTACAGTTTCCTACACTCAGCATGTGATATTTGGCTTTCCAAAGGCTTTTTTTCCGCCTGAAATGGAAATTATAATCTCAGTGACTCAAGGACATAATATCTATAAGTACTTTCATGCCCTGATCAGCGTACTCAGGTAGCTACTTGACATTTTCAGGCAGATAACGGGGTGCACAGAATCAGGTCAGGCCGGAATTTACTGTCTTTGAACTGGCGTGCTTTTTCAGCGTGATTCCTGCTGGTCTTCGTGTTTTTAAAGAAACATCTGTGCAACAAACGAAATATCTATGACCAAAAGACCCTGAAACTTCTATCTCAGGCTTCAGTTGTCCTCTGTGACATTGAATAAACAGTTTTCAAAGTGTGACAGTTAATATTCATTAAAGATTCTTCCTCTAACAAATTAAAAGTTAAAGTCATGAGTGATGAAACTATCTCTTGCACATTTCACTATGCTCAGTACGTTTGCAGTCTCATTGGTCTGGTGCAATGACTGTATCTGTATACAATTTTGCCAGTGTGGTGGCTTAAGTGAACTATTTTTAGTTTGTAACCTTTGATAGATATTGTGGCCATGTAACTAACATTAATGAGACTATTTGCTGATTAACACTTCTGTAAAGGATACACAACATTGAAACATAAATAATATAAATTGCAAAAATATAACAAATGGTAATTACACTGGACCCTACCTTTCAATGTCTCAGTGTTTTTTCCCTAAATGACTGTCTTTTTCATTTTAAAGGTGTTTTTGTTGAGTATTATTGTGCTTTTATATATTACAATGTAAAGAACAGACAGAAAACAAGCGTGAAAGGATGGGCTCAATCCAGGACTTTGTGATTATGGGGTCCTAAGGGCCCAGAAAACTTGGGTTTAAATTTCAAAGATGCATATTTCTGTATAACATTAAAAAATCATGACGAAATAAGAAGAAACCAAATTGTAATCAATTAATGGTTACTTAAGTTACAGTTACCCTCCATCATCAGGGCTGTATGGGTGAGGTTCGATCTGATTTGCTCGACAGTAACATCCCATTATCTGTCATCAGATTCTGTTTTGAAACACTGCTGAATCCTGATTGGCTCTCAAGGGTATGTGACATTTCTTTTTTTTCTATTAAACCCTGCCCCCTCAAACCAATGTTAAAAGAGCAGAGGGAAATAAAACATCAACAAAACTCTCATGGGAAATAACAATTGTTCAAACTTTTTATTCTCATGTAAAATGGCTCATTGTAAAAAGCTGATTAATGGTGTGTTAAATGTTTTCACCCCTCTTTGTGTGTTTGTTGGTTGTTTACAATGAAACTCAATGGAAGGATGGGTCGGACATGAATCCATTCATTTTTGGCGTTAATCCAGATCAGAACACAGATCCAGAATTTTTCCAGTTTTCAAAATTCTCCCTGGTTGCCGGGAAACAATTCATAGATCTTGATTGAAATCATAATTCCTGATATCCATGAATTTGTGATTTAATTTGTTGGGCCTCGGTGGAGGTATGTGCTCTTCTGAGTGACATTGTAGTCATATATTAATCACAAAAAATCTATATGAGACAAACCTTAACAAACCCATTCTGCTCTGTTGTGATGATTTTGCTTTCATACACCAGACTGTCTGGACCAGTGCAGTCAACAACCCTTCAACTTATTCTCTGCACAACAGCCCTGTACACGCTGCACACAACCCCCCCAAGGACATAAATAGAAAAGTCAGAGGCCTCAGGCTTTTATGTTAAATATACCAAAGGTAGGCACGGATGAACAACTTATGAAATTTTAAAGATACACAGAACAACCATTTGATGTACCAGCCAACAATTATTTCTGGATGGAGTTTGTAACTATGGAGATGACGTTTTGTGAGGAGGAGAGTAAGAAGCAGAGGATAAAATAATGTTATGTAATTGGGGAGTGAAGAGACAGTTTGCTCCGGTGGAGATGGTTGTGGAACAGATGAAGGTGTAGTAGTCACTTTAGTGGAAGTATCCACACGTTGTATTACTCATGGCTATAAATGGCTCATTCTGCATCCTAACTGTTTTCATACCATGTCAAGAAAGAATAACTCGGCTACAGGCCGTTATTTCAGTGAAGTGCAAAAATATGTAACCACAATCTAACCTCTATTCAGTGTTGGTGCTTTTTGTGCTGTTGCTGCTGGAAATTGAAGTAACTATGATTCAGTTTTAGCTTTGATTGTAACAAGG